ATGCAGACTTCTGTAAACACAGCTGCAGGGAGGCTCACTTTACAACTGATAACTGACTCATCAATCTTATATTGGTCTTACAGTCTTTCTGCCTCCACACTCACTGTGGCCTTGGAACTGAATTTGTGGTCGAAATTCCTTTTTTACAGTTTATACTATTCCAATGTGTATTTCTTATATTTTACATAGTAAGTGTGTACTGCATCATGTGTCTAAGATCCACAGACAGAAGTTATCCTATTATGAAACTTGCAGAATAATTAATGCGTCTGAATGCAGCATCACACTTCTTTCTCAGTGTTTCTCTGTTTGTTTGTTTTTTCTTTCTTCAGTTTATTCATTTGTTGCGGTGCCAGTAGTTTTTAGGATGACATGTAGGCTCGAGCTTCTGAAAGCATGCTTCTGCTTGTCTTTCCATTAGCATTGGAGGACTTATTCTGGACAAGACTGTTTCTGATCCAAACTTGGCAGGAATTATAGTTTACGCTCCAGTCATAAATGGTGAGTCCTCTTCTTTATTTATATGCTACCTTTTGTGAATCTAAGTCAGTCGAGCTATGAATAAATATTTTACGCTACATTTTTAAGGCATGTGGTAAATCATAGTGTTTTCTGTCCTCGTGCTAATTCATTTTGGCCTAATTTTGACAAATAGACTTCTAAACAGTTCAAGAAGCAAAAAAAATACACAGAGGGATAATGTGGTAGTATCTTGGTGTTTATGGTAATGCCGGGCGGTCTCCATCAACCTCCTGTGGTGACTGAATCTGCCAGCGGTGATGCTCAGACATCTCTTCTGGATCGACTACTGGTGTCTTCAAAAGTTCTCAAGAAGAAAAGTCTTCAAACAGCTTTCAGAGTCTGATGTGAATAATGTTTATTCAGTACAGAGGAGCATCCCCTGGCTCTTTCTCATACGCCGTGATGTCTCATCTTCAAATTCAGCTCGGGTTTGCATTTTATGACTCTTTAAGGAAAAATGACTACATACTCACAGTCCATGAGGTAAATGAACAGGACAATGAGAAATCAGTGAAGTACACTAATGTGATTCAGGTAGCATAGGTATTACCTTTTAGAGTGTGCACAAAAGGATCTTTGCTTCTCTTTTCTTTGCTTCTTGGCCTTTAATATGTTATTTCTGGAAATGGTTCAACTAATTGCTTCTGATTGAACATTCACATGCTGCAATTTAGCAAATGACTTGTGATTTAAAAGCCACCACCAAGGAAGGCGTGCTGCGTTGAATGGCCGCTGTGGCTCTTCAAGTCAGCGGAAGGTGGATTCCCTCCTGCTGCTTCATTCAGTCCAACAGCGTGAACACAGAGCAAGTTGGAGGCCCAGCGCATGTCAGAGGGACGGAAATAAATGCATGTGGAGTTGAGGGTGTTTGTCCAGGACGGAGGGGAAACGTGGAGGTGTTTCTGATACGAGTGCAGAAGGTGTCGGTGTTCATGTAAGACGAGATGAAACGAGAGCTTTGAAAAAGGAAACACGGGAAGAAAGTGAGAAAAGAACATCTGGATGCTCCATGTTCAGGGGCATCACATCTGTCAACATCGCAAAATACTAAGAATGAAAGCAAAGAAGGCTGGAGTCATTTTAGCTGCACTGAAGCTGCACTTCTGACTGTCGAACCTGTACGTTTTTTAATGATGCATTGGATAAAAATGCTGCATTTAAGCTACAAAATACTACAATTATCACACGATGATGCAAGCTTGTCTCTAAAATGGACAAAAAATTTGTATTTAAAATGATTCATTAAATTTCCCGGGAAAATAATGTAATAATGTGAACGATAATGAAAACCTACAGCATCGACAGCGTCGGTCAGCTCAGCAGTACTGATGGAGGTAACATGAATCGGCTCCGTCCCTTCCTGACTTTCTATCACAGTTTTAACTTAAGGTGAGAAAATAAGCTTCTTTCTAAGGCATGAATGAAAATGCCGTTAACTGAAAGGAGAACACTTTGACATTTCACTCAGCACCAGCGTGTGATTGTGCTGTAAAAGCAGACGTCGCCTTTGCCCAAGGACGCAACCACCATGACACAGGTTACAGGGCAAAATCAAACCACCAACCTTCCCATCGTTGAACGACCCGCTCTACCACCTGAGCCACAACCACCACGCAAAATTTCTGGAAACTTCTCCTGCACTTCTCTACATGTGCACTGCTGAGCTCTGTGTTCAGTCCAGGAACAGAACATTACAAGTCCAGTCCAGCATACTTTGTTTTATGACTCTTTAAGGAGAAATGACTACGTACTCACAGTTCATGAGGTAAATGAACAGGACAATGAGAAATCAGTGAAGTACACTAATGTGATTCAAGTAGCATTGGTATTACCTTTTAGAGTGTGCACAAAAGGATCTTTGCTTCTCTTTTCACGGGATTCTTGGCCTTTAATATGTTATTTCTGGAAATGGTTCAACTGATTGCTTCTGGTTGAACATTCACATGCTGCAATTTAGCAAATGACTTGTGATTTAAAAGCCACCACCAAGGAAGGCGTGCTGCGTTGAATGGCCGCTGCGGCTCTTAATGTCGGCGGAAGGTGGAGGCCCAGCGCATGTCAGAGGGACGGAAATAAATGCGTGTGGGGTTGAGGGTGTTTGTCCAGGACGGCGCCGGATGATTCATGAAATTTCCAGAGGAAAAAAATGTATAGGTGGCGCTATGACTGTGAATGGATTTTGGCATATGGATGTGATCAGGACAGCAGTCTGATCAAATATGTAAAGGTTGAGGCAGATTGGAGCAGGTACAGGGTAGTTACACAGTACTTCCTGTTTCATGGCGAAGGATCAAACATCAGAGGGCCACCGTAGCCACACCCTTCGACCGTTGCAGATGATTTTGATAACATTTTACCGTCAAGGCGTATTCTACATGCTACCCACGTTTCAGCGCTCTGTGACTTACCCCCTAGGAGGAGTTAGCTCAGATTGGACAAACAAACAATCCAAAATGGCGGACTTCCTCTTGAGTTTAGGGTATGGCTGTCACCGACCTTTTTGTTCGTCCTGACCGCCTCCATATACCTACCAAATTGCGTAGGTCTGGGTCAGACATGCTTCCGATGGGACTCTGTTGAAATTTTCTCGATGGCGCTGTGGAGCCATTTTTCGATTGAGGTGTGTATTTCCCCCTAATTATAAAATTTTTCACCGGGTCTGATGTGTGTGCCAAATTTTGTGAGTTTTCAAGTACGTTTAGGACCTGAAAAACATGTTTCTTTGTGACAAAGAAATAATGACGTAGCAGTTCCAATAGGGTCCTACGCACTGTAGTAAGCATGTATTAATAAAATACAGAGAACAATTATGCTTACCAGGGTGTCTTAGAGGTGGGTGAATCTCAGCTCTATAAATTGATGTATATAAAGAAACACATCAGAAATTGTGACATAATTGTTTTTTGTTGTTTTTTTTGCCGTAGGCCATGCCTTGCTCCGATCGTCGGTAAAATCTTGCTTGTGACTCCTCCCCCCGAAGACAATGATTTTATACATTTTATGCAACTTTTCGCGCCTTTTCCCATTGTAAATCCTAAAAAAAAAACGTTTTCAGAATCGAGGGGCCCTCTCTTATGGAAAGCATGTGGGAACATACCCAAAAACACACGTTGCTACCCGATTTCCTTTATTGTTCACACATGCATTCTGTGTGTGCCATCAGACACTCAATGTTTTGTTGAGCATCTTGGACACCATGCTGTGTCTGCTCCTGGTGCATGGCAGGGCCGGTGACATTACTTCCTTTGTCACTTCATTTCTTGTTGGACCATGGGAAAGGGTGGTAAGTTGGGAAAATTACATGATTTCTTTTGTTACTTAATTTATGCTAATTTATGCACAGAGAACAATAGATCCACCAAAGTATTGCCAGAAAATATGTAGATCCTCTCTCTAAGAATGCACAGAGTTTCTCTCCATTGTAATTGTAGGAGAATAGATGGAGCGTATTCTGCATTCCCTCTGCACACGGTGACAGCATCGGGTTTTGGGGTTGTGGCCATGACAGGCACCAGTGACCTTCTGGCCACAGCTCCTAAGGCCGCCTCTGTGATGGAGGCTTTGGACATGGCCCACTCTGACTCCATGTCCCCAACCTCCCCCAGGATGCAGGAGAAACTCTTCCGGAGGTGGGAATTGAAAGCCCCACGGACAGGGGCCTCTGCCAGACCTTCTCAGTTCTACGTGTTTGGGTTTACCAGGTCTGTCCGGCAGCCTTCCCCACCATCGGATCCAACTCACCACCAGGTGGTGATCAGTTGACCGCTCTGCTCCTCTCTTCATCCAAGTGTCCATTATGTCCCTGCAGCTCTCTGAAGGCAGTACAACACATACTGTATTCTCATCTGCAATGCATATTATTATTTTTCATATAAAGCTTATTATGTACATGGCAGTTAGCTTAATAGTGCAAAACTATCACACAATTGACCCCTGCCATTTCTGTTCTCTCCAGGTATCGGAGGAAACCTGGTCTCCATACAGTCTAGTCGTATTTCAACCAACTTGCATATGAATTACTCTCCTGGAGAAGTTCCTGAGGATCGCAGGACCTGCCACAACCCTTGTCAGACTTTCTTTGGTTCAGGTAAAGCTGATTCAAACCAGTTTAAATTTAAGTGTTTCCTCTTTGGGGCGTCAGTTCAACTCACAGTCACGCACCTTGTTTCCAGCTTCTACTGGACTCCAGCTCCCGTCTCCCTTTCTCCTTCTGGCTTTGAATTCAGCTGAAGCGTGCATTTAGTTCTCCAGCTGCATGACCTTGAACTATACACAAACTTACAAGCTCACTTCTTCAGACAGTCTTTTCATCCCTGTTGCTGCATTTTCTTAGTCTTTCATGGGTTGTGATCGCACAGGATTGTTCAGTTTGTGCACAAATGTACTTTAACCATCATATTTCCCAGTTTTATCATTTTTTTGCACACAAATCTAATTTAAACCTCCCAGTTTTGTCATTTGTGTAGCTATAAAATCCCACAACAAATGGCTAGCACTGTCACCTCCACCTTTCTGTGGGAAGTTTGCATGTCCTGTGTCTGCTTGAGTTTTTGCAGGGTGGTGCAGCTTCTTCCCACAGTCCAAAGACATGCTCAGTGCAGGTGTGCTTGGTTTTCTGTCTACGTTAACCCTGTGATAGACTGTATAGGCGCCTGTGACCCACCACGGGACTGGGCGGTGCATAGATCCATGTTCTCCCTTCACCTAATACACACAACCTGATGTTGTCATGCAGGAGCAAACCATCGATCTGCTCAGGTCCTGCTCCTTCTGGTCATCCCTGGTCAGCTGATCTTTGTACACACTATTCACGTGATGAAAGGAGGCCAAACTCTGCCCAGTCCTCTCTTCATTGTCGTCTTCTTGTCTGCTTCCCTGATCCAGGTGAGTCACATGACATGCAGCAAGGTTTTCCTTTTGCAAACTCCGTCGCTGGTTTACAGTAACTCTCACGCTTCTGTCGCTCAGGTCTTCTCCTTGCTCTGCATAGCTGACTGCATGGTCCATTGTCTGTGGCGGAGGGGTAAAGACCCAGACAGTTATTCGATACCCTACCTCACGGCCCTCGGGGACCTGCTCGGCACCGCTCTTCTATCTCTGGCCTTCCTCATGCTGTGGTGCATCGGTGACTCGGGCAATGTATGAACTGAGGAGGAAGAAATATTGCTTAATAAACGCAAGGAAACAGAACCTGGGTGTCAACAGCAATCATTTATTCCTCACTCATCTTTTTGCAGACATTGTTGGCTACTAGTGCATAGCTTGAATCTGTGGGTGTTTCCTCTTTCAAGATTTTATCACACACCTTAGCAGGGAGTTAGGTACAGCTGGGCTTTTGCTCATCCCCCACACTAGACTGGAAACTTGAGGTTTAGCAAGTTGTACAACTGTGTTTGTTCAGTCTCCCCCTATGGGAAAGCTGTAAGTTATGGTCATCTCTATTCGGCTGAGGTAGTTGTGCTCAATAGCTGCAGTTGATGTGACTTTAAAGTCACAAAGGAGGGAAACGTGGGAGTCAGCACATGCATGAGGCCTATTTGCTTCTGTTGGCATGTCTGGATTTCCACTGTCTTGGAAATATTCCACCAGTTCCCAAAGATTGTTGGGGAAAAAGCCACGGTCCTCTCCTCAACGCACTGCTGGGTCGTTGTGTGGAGGCAGAAAAACTGTAAGACCAATGTGAGAAAACTGTAAGACCAATGTAAGATTGATGAACCAGTTCTCAGTTGACAAGATTAATGAATTTGCTCTCAGCTGTAAAGTGAGCCTGTCCACAGCTGTGTTTACAAAAGGATGCATTCAGATCTAACTAAAAGGTTTTGTGTCCCCAGAGATTGGTGATGAGATCAAATTAAGAGACTGTACATGACATCGATCCTACAATGAGACAGCCTCAAGATGACTAAAAAGGTTTTTAAGATAATAAAGATGTATTTTTAAAAAATAAGTGCTGATCATCAGCAAACCTACCGGTGGCAAATGACAATCCCAATACATCAACCTGACATTAAAAGCCAATTGTGTGATAAGAATCTGCCTCCATTAGAAATCCTCCGTGGGAAAGAGAAATAAAGGAAAAGGGGGGTGGGATGATACCTACTCATTCTGCTATATAAAGGGGACCCATTTTGACACGTCTTCAGTCTTTCTAGAGGGCTCAGTTTGTGACAGTGTTCCGCTTTGCTGAATACTTGAATAAATTTACACTCTGTGCATTATATCCTTGGCCAAGGCTGATTCTTCTGAGTCATTGTGACCTAACCTACATGAACCCTTGCTAACAATTTTGTGTGATCTCAGACATCTCTGCATTAAGCTGTCAAGAAGGACCTTTGACCCCGTTAGTTGGTAAATTTAATACTGGATATAACATGGACAATAAAAGTACATCTGTTACGATTAGTAGCAGAACTCAGGCGCAGACAACGAAACACAGCAGACTGATATCAGTACAAGAGCTTTAATGAATACACAGGTTATCTATAATAACAGAATATACTCAGGATCATTACCCGGAAACAATCTGGCTAGGGTCAGCAAACTAACCGAACATTAGGAGACGCTTAGACACTAGAGCTGATTAACGTTCAAACAATATGACAATCTGCGGCAAGACGCACACCTCCGCTACTACTGGAGCTAACTCGAGACTAACAGATCTGACTACAAACTAACAGAAACGTTCGCGTACATTATCACAAACACAGAA